TCTAGGATTATTAGATTCCTGCAGCACCAACATAAGAGAGTGTGATCACTGCAGTTCTGGTCTAGGATTATTAGAATCCTGCAGTACCAACAAAAGAGGATGTGATCAATTCAGTTCTGATCTAGGGTTATTAGATTCCTACAAGACCAACATAGGAGTATGTGATCACTTCAGTTCTGGTCAAGGGGTATTAGAACTCAGCAGTACCAACATAGGATTGTGTGATCACTTCAGTTCTGGCCTAGGGTTATTAGATCCCTCCAGCACCAACATAAGAGAGTGTGATCACTACAGTTCTGGTCAGGGGTTATTAGATCCATCCAGTACCAACATAAAAGTGTGTGATCACTGCATGCGCAGTTCAGGTCTGGGGTTATTAGAACCCTGCAATACCAACATACGAGTGTGTGATCTCTTCAGTTCTATTCTAGAGTTATTAGATTCCTGCAAGACAAACATAAGAGTGTGTGACCACTTCAGTTCTGGTCTAGGATTATTAGAATCCTGCAGTACCAACAAAAGAGGATGTGATCAATTCAGTTCTGATCTAGGGTTATTAGATTCCTACAAGACCAACATAGGAGTATGTGATCACTTCAGTTCTGGTCAAGGGGTATTAGAACTCTGCAGTACCAACATAGGATTGTGTGATCACTTCAGTTCTGGCCTAGGGTTATTAGATCCCTCCAGCACCAACATAAGAGAGTGTGATCACTACAGTTCTGGTCAGGGGTTATTAGATCCATCCAGTACCAACATAAAAGTGTGTGATCACTGCATGCGCAGTTCAGGTCTGGGGTTATTAGAACCCTGCAATACCAACATACGAGAGTGTGATCTCTTCAGTTCTATTCTAGAGTTATTAGATTCCTGCAAGACAAACATAAGAGTGTGTGACCACTTCAGTTCTGGTCTAGGGTTATTAGATTCCTGCAGCACCAACATAGGAGTGTATGATCACTTCAGTTCTGGTCTAGGGTTATTAGATTCCTGCAGCACCAACATAGGAGTGTATGATCACTTCAGTTCTGGTCTAGGGTTATTAGATTCCTGCAGCACCAACATAGGAGTGTGTGATCACCGCAGTTCAGGTCTAGGGCTATTAGATTCCTGCAGCACCAACACAGGAGTGTATGATCACTTCAGTTCTGGTCAAGGGGTATTAGATTCCTGCAGCACCAATATAGGAGTGTATGATCACTTCACTTCAGGTCTAGGGCTATTATATTCCTGCAGCACCAACATAGGAGTGTATGATCACTTCAGTTCTGGTCTAGGGTTATTAGATTCCTGCAGCACCAACATAGGAGTGTATGATCACTTCAGTTCTGGTCTAGGGTTATTAGATTCCTGCAGCAGCAACATAGGAGTGTGTGATCACTGCAGTTCTGGTCTCGGGTTATTAGATTCCAGCAGCACCAGCATAGGAGTGTGTGATCACTGCAGTTCAGGTGTAGGGCCATTAGATTCCTGCAGCACCAACATAGGCGTGTATGATCACTTCAGTTCTGGTCTAGGGTTATTAGATTCCTGAAGCACCAACATAGGAGTGTATGATCACTTCAGTTCTGGTCTAGGGTTATTAGATTCCTGCAGCACCAACATAGGAGTGTGTGATCACTGCAGTTCTGGTCTAGGGTTATTAGATTCCAACAGCACCAGCATAGGAGTGTATGATCACTTCAGTTCTGGTCTAGGGCTATTTGATTCCTGCAGCACCAACATAGGAGTGTATGATCACTTCAGTTCTGGTCTAGGGTTATTAAATTCCTGTAGCACCAACATAGGAGTGTATGATCACTTCAGTTCTGGTCTAGGGTTATTAGATTTAGATTCCTGCAGCACCAACATAGGAGTGTATGATCACTTAAGTTCTGGTCTAGGGTTATTAGATTCCTGCAGCACCAACATAGGAGTGTATGATC